AGGATGGAAAATAATAAGTGATTAAGAATAATAGTAACTTTATTAAAAGATAGTTAATTTTTTTTTATTAAATATATTTATTTATATATTTATAATTTTATTTTTATAAATACTAAAATAAATTATTAAATATATTAAATAAAAATTATTTTATATTATTTTATGCTTTTTCAAATTTTTTATTCTTTATTTATCTTATTCATTATGATTAATAATATATATTTAATTTAAAATAATTAACCAAAATCCATCTATTAACAAAATTGTAAGGGAAATAAAGATTTTTTATACATATATGTGAAAAAAATATGAGGGAGAAGCTAACATGAAAATCACCAAAAAGCATTGGCTGAACTTGGGAGTTATGTAAGCTTTAACTTTTCAAAGTATTATAATTTTAGTATAATTTATTATTTTGACTCTCCAAAATTAATAATTATTTAATATATTTTTTTATATATATTTATTTATATTTTTTATTTTTTATATTTATTTATTATTTATTAATAATATATTATTTTATCTCAAAATCACCGTATTATCAAAACGTGTAATCATTAATGAACAAGGACATGTTCTATCTTACTTCAGATAATATTTATCGAATCCATATTCATAACTATTTAAAAAAAATACTAAATATTCATTATATGGCATCAATTCAATTCAATTGTGACAAGTACATTGATAAAAAAGTTATTAACACGATGGAGTTATTATTCTCATAAAAATAGTAAAGTAATATTATGCTGACTAAAATAGACATTTTTGCAGGTATATAGAAATCAAAAGATAGATTTTCATAACTATAAAAATTACATGAGCAATTAAGTAGGTAAGAAAATAGATACATGTCACTATTTTTCCTCACGGGTCCAACGAAGGAATGAATTAGGGTTTTGCCCTATGTGTAAGGTTACATCATGTGATGCAAAGTAGCTTTTTTTAAAATGATTTCATTTTTTTATTTTACTTTCTTTTATGACATATTATTTATTTATTGTATATTATTATTATTATTATTATTATTATTATTATTATTATTATTATTACATTTCCACAATGCTTCTTTTGAATCAAAACCTGTACATAAATATTCTTTTATAACAGCTTGTTTTCCTTCGACTAGACAACACGTTTGTGACAGACATTGAAATTATTTAATTTAAAAAGAAAAGATAGAACAAAATCATATTATATGTGTGTCTAATTTAAAATAATAATAAATCATTTTCGACCATTTATGCTTTCATGTGAAGTGTCTTACCCAGGTTGTCACTTTCTCTGCAAATTTGAGACCCATCATATAAACCTCAAAATTATGAATTTTATGAATTTGATTCTAAAATTCAGCTTATGTGCAAAATAATAATAATAATAATGTTTTTCACTCTTTTTTGTTTCATAGTTAAAATGATAAGGATTAAAAATATTTTTAGTCCTTGTAAAATTGGAAATAGTTGTTCTATCAAAATTCTCATAAAAATGATTCTTATATTTTTGAAATGATTGAAATAGGTCCTTATTTTAAACGATGATAAACATACGGTGACATGTCTAATAGAGATAGTATGATTCATTTATTATTTGACAAGTGGAATTATTAAAAAACAAAACTCTTCTTAAAAAAATAGAAATTATTCAACGAAATTATAAAAAAAAAAACAAAATAAAGTATAAACTTTTCTTTTCTCTTCACGCACCAAAGTTGTTTAGTTCTCGTCACAACCACTTTTCATTCTCTTCTTTTCTCGTCACGATTACTTTTCATTCTCTCTTCTTTTCTCATCACATACCAAAGATTTTTTCTTTCTTCCCCTTTCTCTGTAAATGTTTTATGAAGTTAAAGTGAATTTGAAATTCAAGGGTTCCATCGGTTCGTTGTGATTCGACTCATAGTGCGATGGTGGTGCACAACGGCAATGTGCGATGGTAGTATACCATAACTAGAGTTTTCATTTCTGAATATGTTTTTTTAATTTGTGAAACTAAACATTTATTTTGTGTTCTAATACATGCATTTAGGGTTTTGTTAAAATGATTTAAGGTTTTTCTCTTACATTGTTTGAATCAATTTTTCACGGATTACAATGGATTTCTCCGTAACATTTCACCTCATGGATAAAGTTGTGAGGTTGAAGAATTGGAAATTGAGAAATTTAGAAATAGGTTTCTCGGTAATATTTCACCACATGGGTACTTTTTTATTTTGTTTTTTTTTTAATAATAATCTCTGTTGAATAATTTATATTTTTTTTAAAAAAGAGCTTTATTTTTTTTAACAATTATACGAGTCAAATAATGAATGTATCATACTATCTCTGTTAGATAAGTCACCATATATTTAACATGGTTTAAAATATGGACCTATTCCAATTATTTCAAAAATATCGGAGAGATTATTTTCAATCTCACATAAAAATATAGATACTAAAAACATACTTAACCCAAATTATAATATCATAAAAATAAAAATTTAATAATATTATAACTTTCATGAAATTTATAATTTTAACGTAGTTTTTAAAGTTTCTTTTTCTATTAATTTATTATTTATAAAGTTTAAGATTATGTTAATTATATTCTTATATTGTTTCCTAATTTTAAAATAATTTACATATTTTTAAATAATCTATACATATATTTATTAATTGGATTAAATAAGACAGATAAAATTTCAATGACATCATATATTTATTAATTCTTGGTGGTGAAATTAAAAATATTTTGTTATCTAAGAAAAATAACTATATTAAAATTTTAATAAAAATAAAGAGTATTAAATTTTGTTCTCCTCTTTGTATTAAAAAATAAGTATGATTAACATCAAAATTATTAAAAGGAAAATACATTTGCTTATCCCAAAATGTTACATATTAAAAATAATATATAGAAACATTAATAATAAAATGAAGACGTGATAAATAAAAACTGACACGAATAAAAAATCGTAATTAAAAACCGAATGATTTTTTTTGTATAATTAAAACTGGTTAGTATAAGTTGTCAATAAATATTATGATTGGTAAAATTGTTAAATGTTTCATATTTATTATGCTTTGAGAAACCTAACAAATAAAATCAAAAGTATGAAATTGAAGATCACGTTAAAATTTAAATGTAAATCATGATATTTAGGAAAATAAAGTGACGCTGATCCAAAATTGTGGATCAGATTTGTTAGTTTTAGAGGTGAAGTGACATAACCATTAATGAATCTAACTAAAACGTTACTTTCAATATAGATAAAGAAATAATGATAAAAACTAGTTTAAAAAAATGTTAGATATAAAAGATAAAAATTACTTTTAAAATATTTTATTTAAAGATTTTCATTTTTCAAGATCCAAAAAAATAATTCATTACAAGATATATTTGAAACTGTTGATAAAATAGTGAAAAAAAGTCTAAATTTAAAATTGAAGACGAATAATAAATAAAATGAAAATAAACTCTTTAGAGAAATAAAAAAAAATTCTCTATTTCTCGCTAAATACAAAATTCATATTACTTAATTTTCTTTCTATCTTTAATTTTCGTTAATGATTTTACGATTTATTAACTGTCATAAACATAAAAAAAATAGTAAGTAATACATAAAAACGATGTCATTAATAAAAAATAAAAAAATTTACGTGCAATGCGTTGGTATAATAGCACGTCATGATGATTTATCAAGTTCTGGAAGATTTATCAAGTCATGATGATTTATCATGAGTCGCTTTTTTTGGTTTGATAAAAGAAGACCCTTTGTAAAGTTTCCATATTCGAAATAGTTTTTGTTTTGAACTCCTATTTTTAAAAATGTTTACTTTATATTTTTTTTAGAGACTACAAATAATTTAAAAAAAGCAATGAATTTTTTTCGCTTTTTAAAAAATAAGGGTAGGAATGTATAATGCAATTTCTACCTTAACTTTTTTCTCATCTCGTCTCGACTTTATATTTAAATTTAAAATTTAAAATAATAATATTTTAAAAATATTTTTTTTTATTACATATAAGATTATTTTTTATATTTTATTATTTTTATTTTTCTTTTATCCAATTTTTAATTTTTTTATCTTTTTTAATTTGTTATATTAATTAGTTTAATATATTATTCTCTTTCTTTTACCTTTCAATTTTTGATATTTTTTTAATCTCTTTAGTCAATTTATTTATTTTTAATCAATAAACATATTTTTTTTCTAAATATTTTATATAAATATTAGTAATACTTAATATTATTTTATTTATAATTTATATTTATTAGATTTTATTAAGTCATATTTTTAAATATTATTATTCTTATTTGTTAAAAAAATTAATAATTTAAATTTTTATTATTTTAAACTAATTAAATAAAAATTAATTTATTAAATATTTTTTTTAAATTATATATTTTATATTTATAAATGACAATTTAAAAATATATTAACTTATATATGTAGTGAATACAATATAATAATAATTATAATATTTAAGTATTTAAATGTATGAATGTAGTATAATAATAATATTATTATTATAAATATTATATATATAATGATTAAATATATTTTTTATATATATTTTTTAATATAAATATAATAAATTAAAATATATATTTAATTAATAATTACACATTGTAAATTTATAAATATTTATTTATACATAAAAAATATAAAAAAAATTAATTTATTATAAATATAATTATTTTTATAAAAATAATATAAATGGTGGAAGGAGAAATCTGAAACCCAATAAAAATAAAAAAAAATAATTTCTAACTTCAATGAAATTTTTTCTAACTCCAATAAAAATTAGGACAAAAATGGTTAAAATAGTCGGAAATAAGATTGGGAAAGGAAAACCTTACCCTCCCACCCCCTTGTCATACCCAATGTGATTACTTTGGTTCCTACCTAGCTAGGTTGGTGTGGCATTATAAGGACCTCGTGTCTTCCCTTTTGCAAACCCCTCCTTCCACAACCCATTCTTCTTTTCATCTCATCAACGTAACATACCAACTACTAACCATGTTCACCCAATTTTTCATCTTCTTCCTCCTCTTCACGCCCTTCATCTCCACCGCACCACATGACACCCACGATTTCGTGCGTACCTTGGACCGCAAAATGTTGGGTTTGGACGAAAAGCAAGAAAAGTTCAGCCACTTCAGGTTATGTTGTGTTATACATGTTTTATTATAGTAAGGTCACAGTTTCAATCATTATAGATACTTAAAAAAAATCCTTATGTTGCAATCAATTCTTCGTAATTTTGATTGCATCATTTATTATATTTTATACTTTTTCTACTTTCTTGACTGCTAAATTACTCGTTTGATCCACCATTTTATACTTCAGGTTTTGATCCACCATTTTAATCTCTTCATTTAAGTTTCCGCAGTTTTAATCTCCAAACTTTAAAAATCCATAATTTTGGCTAAATATTCAACAGGATAAATGCAATAAGAACACAATTGCTGTAGCAGAAACTTTTAAAATCTTGACGTTGAAGTCATTCTGAACGGTTTTAAAACTTTCGTTTCTTTGTTTATCGTATTTCATATTTTTAAAAATTTATAATTCGGTTCATCTTTAAACTTCGATCTAAAACTTCTCATCTCTCTCTTTTTTCTATGCTTTTTAGTCTCCAAGTTATACAAAGTTCATAATTTTGGTTCAATTTAACATATCATTGATAGTGATTTAATTAATTAAAATGTAAAATAAATATCTCTGTACAGTTTACAGACTAAAATTATAAAAAATAATAATAAAGACACCAAAATCACAGATAAAAATTTTAAACTACGCTTGTCATGGATTTTCTTTACCTTTCAGATTCTATTGGCACGACGTGGTGAGTGGACGCAACCCTTCCTCCATAGAAGTAGTTTCATCAGGGTTGAAGAACTCAAACACGTCGTTTGGATCGGTGAACATGATCGAGAACCCTTTGACATTGGAACCCCAACTGAACTCCCAATTGGTGGGGAAGGCACAGGGGTTCTATGCTTCCACGTCCCAGAGTGAGGTTACCTTGCTCATGGCTATGAACTTTGCCATCACTGAAGGGAAGTACAATGGCAGCAGCATCACCATTCTGGGGAGGAACCCTGTTTTCAACAAGCAGAGGGAGATGCCTGTGATTGGTGGAAGTGGCCTCTTTCGATTTGCAAGGGGTTATGCTCAGCTCAGAACTCACTGGTTTTCACCCACCACAATGGATGCCATTGTTGAGTACAATGTTTATGTTCTGCATTATTGATATATATATATATATATATATATATATATATATATATATATATACACGATACAGTATGTGCATTCATATGCAATACTATTTGTATGTAGCATGTTGGAGATTTTATCTATATATACAAACATATATGTTTCATTTTTTATTCATCATTTGGCGGCAAAAAGGTGGTCGAACGGAGACTCCATTGAAGTATGACGGTGGTTTGTGGTGGTTGATTATGGAACTGAAATCATTATCATTGTGTCTCATTTTCGAAACTTCCAACTTTTCCAATCAAGATGAGCCTAGAAGTTTCCCAAGATAAAGTTCATTGATTGAAGTGTTAATTTGACTTAGAGTGTGGTTAAAAAACATTATTATATCTCAATCTTACCAAACCACAATAGGTTAACAATTATTATTTTTTATATCTCACTCATACCATTATCAAGTTTTCACCTTTCTTGAATCAGAGGACCAATATGGCTGACACTTGCAGAACATGCAAAAGGCTTATTGTTCATTCATAAAAAACATAAAGTAAAAGACTTGTTGGTCATTTTCATTCTTAAATAAGTGTACCATGTATGACATGTTCAAATTGTTTATTGGATTAATTTTTATTTTTTTTTTACAAACTTGGTTTTGATTTGGTATCTATAGTTTAGAAGTTGATTAATTAATTCTCAAATTAAAAAAAATGTGAATTTTTTTTATTAACTTTGTATTGTAAAAATAATTAATTGATAAATATTAAAAAAATGAAAATTTACTCTATTAATTTTGTGATGGTAAAAACTCATAATTGAATATTAGATTTAGATGTAAAAATTATATATTATGGGAATTTTATCTTTTTATTAATTTTGTGATGATAAAATACAATTATTAAATGTTAAATATAAATATAAAAAATAATTAAATTTATATAGGTTTAAAAGTTGAATCATTGAATTTATTAATTTTAAAATAAATGACAAAAATATATTTTTTCCAAAATATTTTATGGTATAGGGTTAGACCACAGTTTCATTTTTATTTTTATTTTTATTTTTGTTAAAAAGGGTTAGACAACTATAATGCAATACTGCACAACATTCCCGAACACTGATTTTAAAAATTCCACAATTTATTATTTTATTATTACATCAATGTTTACGAGAAGACTCTTTTTAATATGTTTCAAACAATTTAAATAATGTTTTGTAAATAATTAAAGAAATGCAAGATTAAAAAAATACAATGATTTAATAAAATTTCAAAAGTAATTAATATACGTTTCTCTAACTTTTGTACCTCTCTTTGTAACATCACTAACCTAATCCCTCTATAGGCTTGCTTCTTTTCTTACTATTGCTGTGAGTATGTAAACTGAGTATAACGTCATTCTTCCAAAACCTTCGTCATTCTCTATCATTTTCTCAAATTTGCTTTCTGCCCAAGTCGCATTTCGATTTCGATTTTACATGGTTAAGGTTGTAGTATCTACATCAAATATCAGGAAATTAAACTTTGAAGTTAGCAAAAAATTTATTTTAAATAAGTCCAATCTTGCGAAATTGGTTTTACTAAGGTGTGTTCGAATGAATATTTAGCCTAGATATATATATTTTTTAGAATAATATCAATAACAATCACTTTTACATATTTAATATTAATGTTTAATATGAGAACATAAATATTATTAAAATCTAATAAAATTTATTTTTTTAATGCATCTTCATTTTTTTTAACGGGTGTCTTTGTGTTTTTCACTCCTTCTTCTTCTACCCATCATTTATATAAAATGATAAAAATATTTTTATATTAATTTTGGTTTGAATTATAAGAAACATCTTAAATTGTGTGTTGCGCTGCGCTCCCTTCATCTCAATATCTTTTTTTACCTTTATATCTATTTCATCACTGATTCCAATTTACATGAAAACTAGATTGAAATTACACATAGGAACATCTAGACTAGACTGCTGAATTTAAAATGTATTTTTAGAATGAGTAATTTGAAATATATTTCTAAAAATGTAACATATGTTGATAAACTTCTTTTTTTATAGGCCAAGATTACGAGACCTCATTCTCAACCTATAAATTGTATTTACCCAACTGATCTTATAAGATGTAGAGTTTATGGGAATCAAGTGTAGTTAATAAGTATAAATCTAATACATATGAGAATATTGTAGATGAACAATATCAATAATTTCTAGTATATGATCAAACTTTTTGAGGAAAACTCATAAATACTTTATTATTAATTAGATATGAAAATTATGTGACCCCATATTCGCGGGAGGGAATATCTTTCACTTAGTTTAGAAATACTTGTGAGTGTTAGTTATTATAACATGATAAATAAAGGATTATTATCTACCTTTACGAATAGATGACAAAGTGAAACTAACAAATTTATATTTGCTTGGAAGCACAGGAAGTTATGGAGGTGTTAATAGAACTCTTAAGAATTGATTTTGCAATAACTTTTGCAAAGACCGATGCAAAATCAGGGAGTGTTTAAAACATATTTATTATAATATTTGTATTTTTATCAAACATATGTTAATGAATATACTTATTTTGCTCCAATAACTTCATTAGTTGTTGTATTTCAATTTTATAACCTCACACGTCTATAATATGTGTATTATATACTTATTTTATATTGTTAAATTTTTTCATCATTCTCCTTCAAGGTAAGTAGAATATTTGTAGGCTTGGTTAAATGCTTTGTCATATCAACTAGTATGAATTTTTCATTACTTGTTAATATACTAAGATATGAATGATCTACCAATGTATTAGTTAAACCCTGATTATGACTTGCAAAAATTAATTTAAGAATCCATCATTTATCATTCTTTACAAGTTTTTCTTGTGGTTTAAAGGGATATTCAATTTTTTACTTTTTACAATTGGATGTAAATTTTTTTTGTATTTCCTATATTTACCACATATTTCACAATTTAACAATATATATATTTTCCTTCCATGATGACCATTTATATATCTAAAATAATAAATATAAAATTATTACATATGATATTTATTACAACAATCAACCAAATAATTAGAAATATGTTCCACTATATCAATTTTATCTAAACCTCTTAACATGTTAAACATGTCAACTTGATATATTATTATTTAAAAAATCATCCTTCGTTCCATTTTGTGTAAATCTGAAGCTAAAAAATTATAAAGTCTCATATTATTTTTTGAAAACACATTTATGGTGTAAGGGATTCAGAATAAGATTTTTGGATTTAATTTTTTAGAAACATATTTTGGGTCCTGGAATAGTATTATGTGATGTTTTAGACATATTGTCATGTTTTTTTTTTTTTGTAAAAAAGATAAGAATTAAAAATGGTTTAATAATCTTACTTGGAAGTTTTTAAAATAATGAATCCTTATAGTTGAAGGGACAATATGAAGGGTTTAGGGTTTAAAAACCATAAACAAAATTTAAGAAAAGAAAGTAGATGGAAGAATAAAATGAGATATATTTTAATTATGATGGTACGAAATTATTGGAGTACACAAAAACGGTGCAAGTAGCAATTGCCTGATTTTCTTATTCAACATTTTGAAAGCCCAATGCTGCTTTAACAAGTTATTAATTATGAATCTCCTTTGAAGCACTGACATGGTGCCACCGAGGTTGTCCTCCATTCTCTGATTCGACTATGCACACAACCTTGGCGCCAATTCTTCACAAACCCAAACTCATTCCACTCTCGCTTCAATTTTCAACCCTATCTACATCTCTTTCACTTCACCATTCCCAAAATGTATCCTCACAACACAATATCGCCACCATCGTTCACTCCCTCTGCGACTCTCGCCGTTTCTCCGAAGCGCACCATCGCTTCTCCCTCTCCCTCGCCTCCGGCTCCCTCCCCGACGAGCGCACCTGCAACGTGCTCCTCGCTCGAATGCTCGATTCTCGAACCCCACACGCCACGTGGCGCCTCATCCAATCCCTTATCTCTTCCAAGCCCGGTTTCGTTCCCTCTTTGGTCAACTACAACCGTCTGATGGACCAGTTTTGCCGTGCCCATCAGCCCCTGGACGCTCACAGGCTGTTTTTCGACATGAAGAGTCGTGGGCATTGCCCAAATGTTGTCTCTTTCACCACTTTGATTAACGCGTACTGCCTGGTTCGTGGAATGAGAGACGCGCGCAAGGTGTTCGACGAAATGCTTGAAAGTGGCGTGAAGGCGAATTCGGTGACTTACAGTGTTTTGATTCGTGGGGTTCTTCAAGAGAGGGATGTGGAAGGTGGGAGGGAGTTGATGTGCAGGTTGTGGGAGATGATGAGTGTGGAAGTTGAAGATTCTGTGAAAACTGCGGCATTTGCGAATTTGGTTGATTCTTTGTGTAGGGAGGGGTTTTTTAGTGAATTGTTTAGGATTGCTGAGGAGTTGCCGTTCGGGAGTGGTTTTTCTGAGGAAGTTGCTTATGGACAGATGGTGGATTCGCTTTGCAGAGTTGGGAGGTATAATGGGGCAGCTAGGATTGTTTATGTAATGAGGAAAAGAGCGTTTGTTCCGAGTGATGTGTCCTATAATTATATCATTCATGGACTTAGCAGGGATGGCGATTGTATGAGGGCTTATCAGTTGTTAGAGGAAGGAGCTGAATTTGGGTTTATGTTATCTGAGCATACGTATAAGATATTAGTGGAAGCTCTTTGCGAAGTGTTGGATGTGGACAAGGCGAGGGAAGTTTTCAAACTCATGCTGAGTAAGGAAGGTGTTGACAAGACTAGGATTTACAACATTTACTTGAGAGCTCTTTGTCTTGTGAACAATCCGACAGAGCTTTTGAATGTGCTTGTATTTATGCTTGAGAGCAAGTGTCGTGCAGATGTGATCACCCTCAACACAGTGATCAAAGGTTTTTGCAAGATGGGTAGGGTTGATGAAGCTTCAAAGGTATTGCATGACATGTTAGTGGGAAAATTTGTTGCACCTGATGTTGTGACCTTCACCACCGTGATTTCTGGTATGTTGGATGCTGCAAGAGTCAACGAAGCTCTTGATCTGTTTCATAAGCTGATGCCGGAAAATGGAATAAGACCTAGTGTTGTGTCATATAATGCTCTTCTCCGAGGTTTATTCAAACTAAAGCGAGCAAATGATGCATGGATGGTTTTCAATAACATGGTAAATGATGGCATTACCGCAGATAGTACCACATACACAGTTGTGGTAGAAGGTCTATGTGAATCTGACCAAGTAGAAGAAGCAAAGAGTTTTTGGCACAATGTTATATGGCCTTCCGGGGTTCATGATAATTTTGTTTATGCAGCAATTCTGAAAGGGCTCTGCCGCTCTGGCAATTACAACGAGGCTTGTCATTTCTTGTATGAATTGGTGGATTCTGGGGTCTCTCCGAATATATTTAGTTACAATATTCTGATCAACTGTGCGTGCAATCTTGGTTTGAAAAGCGAAGCTTACCAAATTGTCAGAGAGATGAAAAAGAATGGGCTCAGTCCTGATTCTGTGACATGGAGAATTCTTGACAAGTTAAATGGCAAAGGGAGGAAGGACATCCATTCTGAAGATCCTACCATGTCAACATTTTATGAGGCATGACATAAAGTTAGGCTTGACGGAAATGGAATTCAGTTTGTGCTTCAAAATATTAACCCAAAATTGTGTTTTGGTTCATAGGGTCTAAAGCATGAACAAACAAGGGCTTTGAAGTTTGAACAAAATCAATGAGTAGCAAACTAGGAGGACCAATGGTAAATTTCCGGATTATCTCCATATAAACACGAAACTGGGTTATTAAATCCTGCTTCAGCTGCTATGCGTGGTATGATTCTATGTGATCTTGAACAGAAATGAAAGAGATTATGCGAGTTTGAGATAAATTTTGTGATTTATGAAGCTACTACTGAAAGGGCTGTGACTTTCACTGGAAGAAAAGCAAGGACAGCGGATTTATACACAGTTAGCATTGCATTATCAAACATTAGTTTATTTAAAAAAAAAAAAAAACCAATAGACAAACTTAGAGATAACAACATGGGCTAAGTCTGACGGGTTGGCCTACCAACTCACAAGTCAATCCATGAGGTGGACCAGCTCCAATCTGCTTAACTAATAATAATAATAATAATTTATTGTAATATAGTGTGTACAGGCAAGAGGTAAAATGTGTGAAAAAAGAATTAAAAAAATATAGATGTCTATCAATTTCAATATCTGTCTGACTAAAAAAATAAAAAAAGTCTTACTTTCATCCGGAAAATACTCTTCTTTCCCAATACAAACATTTTCTTTCTTCTTCTTCTTCGTCATTATCTCGTCTTTCTTTATCTTTCATCATCTTCCAAGAAGAGAAAAATTATATATATTTGATAGTTTTTTTTTTCTCTTTTATCTTTGTCACTTGCTCTTGTTTAAGGTTTTATTTTTTTTTCTCACATTGTTTCTCTCTCACAATTCACTTATTATAATATTTTTCTAGTTGTGCTTTTGTTGAAATCTCGGATTAAGAAAAAATCATGAAGTTTTATTTTTAAATAGATTGGATAATAATAGAAATTGATGGTTCAATTAGTAAATCTACTTGTGATTTTATGATGTTATAATGAGGTTAAATTCCAACATGTTGAAAATAATAATGAATCCGAACCACATCTAATTGTTGGAAGTTTTTTTATTAAGATTGGTGTGTGTAAGGATGGAAAAGAAAGAGTTTTTACGTAATAGTTGTAACACAAAATATGTAATTAGTGATAAAAAAATATGAAATTTCTCACTTAAAGCATCATATAGAAATGTGATAAGATCAAAACTGAAAATGTGAATCAAATGATTTTAAACAAGCAAGGAAAGTTGAAGTAAACAAAAATAGGTCAGATGGTGTCCAGTGAGTTGTATACTAATTTAATTATCCAATGTGATTTACCTTTAAAATTTGTTGAGTATCTAGATATTAGGACCTGAGATAAATTATTTTGAATCCTATAATATTATTTTCGTTTTAGGTGTTTGTATAAAAAATAGATATTTAACAAATTTTAACGTTATATACATTAATTTAAAAAAATAGAGATTCAATAAAAGGAAAATTACATTATATTTTTTTTATTTGATAAAACTTCAAATAATGTATCCAAGTCGAAGTTCGAATACTCAACAAATTTAAAAGGTAAACTATGTCGGATAATTGAATTAGTACACATAACTCACGAGACACCATTTGATTTTTTTTTTTCTTCAACTTTCCTGTGTGTCTAAAATAATTTGACTCACATTTTCAGTTTTGATCTTATCACATTTCTATATGATGCTTTAAGTGAGAAGTTTCATATTTTTTTGTCACTAATTACACATTTTGTGTTACAACCATTACACACAACTCTTTCTTTTTCATCCTTACACACACTGATCTTAGTAAACAAAATTTCAACAATCAGATGTGTCATATTTATCCTTTTTTATGTCTGACTTAATAATTTTAGATTTATTATTATTTTTAACATATTGAAACATAATCTCATTCTCAATTTCATGTTCATTGACGACATCATCAAGACTAGAAGTAGGTTTACTAATTGAACCATCCATTTCTATTATTGTCCAATCTCGTTTAAAACTAAAAAAAAAAAAACTTCAACTTTTTTTCTTAGTATGAGATTTCAACAAAAACCCAAATAGAAAAATATAATAATAAGTTAGTCGTGAGAGAGAAAAAAATACTAAGAAAAAAGATGAAACCCTAAGAAAAAGCAAGTAACAAAAATAAAAGAGAGGAAAAAAATATGAGGCATATATGATTTTTACCTCTTAGGAGGAAGATAAAAAAAGGTGTGCAAGGAGCAAAAAAGAGAGAAATGACTTGTGCTTGAGGAAGTAGAGTGTTTCCTATAGCGAGAGTGATACTTTCTAAATTATCTCGAATGAGACTTTTTGAATTCTCTTAGTGAGACTTCTTGAATTCTCTTTTTATAAATTTTGTTACAATAATTTTTTTTATTATTAGTAAAGTGGGTCAAAGGTCGGCTCGACTCACTCTATAGATTGGTAGGGTAGAATAGAATGGGTTAAAAATATCAATCTGGTTTGTTGAACTTAATCCATTTTGTCATCCATAATTATTTTAAAATTAATTTGTTAAAATAATGTATTAATTTATATTATTATTAACTTTAATATATATATATATATATATTAAATTATTGACAAACAAATAATAATTTTATTATTAAATTTATTAAAAAATATTTAAAAAAGATTATAAAAAATATATGGCATGCGGATTAAAATCTATTACCCTATTATAACTATAATGAATTAACTCGTTTTACTCCCATTTTTTATGAACCAAAGGAAAAACAAATTAAAATGGAAATGAATCAAAGATAAAACGGATCAAAATGGGACGAACAAACATATTTTGACATCTTAGAGAACAAACTCCTCGAAACTTTTTCTACAAGTAGCACGTATTCGTTTTTTAATTACTCGGATAACATACTCGTAAGTTTTATTTACCTAGATAACACAGTTTTTTGTTAAGTTTAGAATTCGATTTTCCGAATACTGAAACCTAAACGTAATTATATTTTATAATTTTTCCAAACAATTTAGAATTCGATTTTTCGACAACCGAATTTCGAATAGTTTTCTTTTTATTTTGTTAAGAAAAAAACTAACTAAAAAATATATATATATATATATATAATATGTTATAATATTTTATTTAAAATTTATAGTTTTAAATTAGGTATTTAAAAAGATTTGTATATTTCTAAAATTAATAATATATTTAGATTTATTGTTGAAAGTAGTAAAATAATATTTTTACAATATATTATTACATATTATATTTAAATTTATTTGTATGATTAAACTTTTTTTAATTTTTTGATTTATTTGATATTATAATTTTTTTAGAAATTAATAATAAATTAGGAGGATAATAAAAATCTTAAAAATTATATGTATATAAGAAGAAATAATCTTTTGATGTAAAATTATATATATATATATATATATATATATTCTAAAATATAATTTATATTAATTACTATAATATAAAATATATATTCCAAAATATAACTTAATTTCATTTATATATATATATTATAGAAATTAAAATAAATTATATTTTAGAATATATATATATATATATATATATATATATTAAATATAAATTATTTTCAAATTGATAATTATTATTCTAATTTATGCAAAATATATATATATGATAGCGGTTCCAGTTTAATCGCACTTAAAAGTCACAGTATGATAGCGGTTCCAGCTTAACCGCTCTTATAAGTGATCTGTATGATAACAGATTTCACGTTAACCGCTATTATAGTTAAAAAAATAATCGATTATTTCAAAAAGTAATCAATTAGATTTTCATATCGAGAACCAGTTATTTTTTTAAATAATTGATTAATTTTTAAATAATCAATTAGTTTTTCAAATATATATTAAATAATTATAAATAAAAAAATATATCAAATTAAAATTAAAAAAAATTATTTTTAAATTATATATATTATATAAATTATAAATATAGAGTTAAAAAAATTATATTTATAATTATAACCTTAAAAATTATAGTTAAAAAAATTATATAATTGTATATAAGAAAAAATAATATTTTGATGTAAAATTATATATATATATATATATATATATATATATATATTCTAAAATATAATTTATATTAATTACTATAATATAAAATATATATTCCAAAATATAACTTATTTTCATTTATATATATATTATAGAAATTAAAATAAATTATATTTTAGAACATATATATATATATATATATTAAATATAAATTATTTTCAAGTTGATAATTATTATTCTAATTTATGCAAAATATATATATGATAGCGGTTCCAGTTTAACCGCTCTTAAAAGTGACTATATGATTGCGGTTCCAGTTTAACCGCTCTTATAAGTGACCGTAATCAGCTATTATAGTTAAAAAACTAATCGATTATTTCAAAAAGTAATCGATTAGTTTTTCATACTTGAGAACCTAGGTTATTTTTTTAAATAATTGATTAATTTTTAAATAATCAATTAGTTTTTCAAATATATATTAAATAATTATAAATAAAAAAATATATCAAATTAAAATTAATTTTTTTAAATTATATATATTATATAAATTATAAATATAAAGTTAAAAAAATTATATTTAAAATTTTAACCTTAAAAATTATAGTTAAAAAAATTATATAATTGTATATAAGAAGAAATAATATTTTGATGTAAAATTATATATATATATATATATATATATATATATATATATTCTAAAATATAATTTATATTAATTACTATAATATAAAATATATATTCCAAAATATAACTTATTTTCATTTATATATATATATATATATACAGAAAATAAATTATATTTTAGAATATATATATATATATATTAAATATAAATTATTTTCAAGTTGATAATTATTATTCTAATTTATGCAAAATATATATGATAACAATTTCAGTTTAATCGCTCTTAAAAGTGATCGTATGATAGCGGTTCTAGTTTAACCACTCTTATAAGTGATCGTATGATAGCGGTTCCACGTTAACCGCTA